GCTTTCCGAGACAGATTTCGTTTGTATATTCCAGCATACAAGAAGCGCGTAGAAATATATGCGCGAGAAGATGTGAAATATGCATGATATAGTGATGAAGTAGACTCGTTTGTAAAGTAAACGCGAGCTGATAGACTAGTAGCAATATTTTTGGGTGTAGTGCCAAATTTTCTCTTAGAAAAGTCGTAAAATCGTAATATCATATAAAATGCTACTAGACTAGGCTGGCTCTGGCTCCAACTGAATAAGAAAGCAAGGCTCAACACAGAGCCTCCAAAACCGTGCATGATTTCAAGCACCTCCAGTTTCAAAAAACGTGCGCTAATAAGGATACGCTCTGACTTCTTCCTCTTTCTCCAAATCAAAGCCCGCTTCGACTTGCTCCTTATGTTTCTTGTCCAAATACTCCAATAAAACCTCACCATACTTCTCCTTTCCCTTATACTTACTCACATCTTCACCCCAACTCCTCACAGCACTTGCTAGTCTTCCCGGTACATACGGTTCTTCGCATATCTCCGTAATTGGATGGAAGTATGTTCTGATAGTAAACACTACACCGCCGGATCTCGGTAGTCTCCTTAAAGACTGCCGTTCGGAGCGAAACCAATGATGTTCAATGGCTTTATTTTTCTCCGCAGTGTCCCAACTTACACTACCGGGCGCTCCATTTTCCGGACCGATGCTTGATGACCATGCAAGTTGATCGTCTACTTGAATGAAATAGTTGTTCTGAAACACCGGTTAGTACATGCGGGTAGGCATAAATCGCGCAAGTAGATGCTTACACGCTGCACGGGTCCATTGGGCTGAACTCTGCGAAAAAAGTTCATCATTCCTTTCTCTAATTTCGCTTGGTATCCTGGTACGTCGCCAGAAGTATGTATCTCGCTCAACGGCATGCCTAATTTATCCTCCAAACGCCAAAATCCCGCGAGTAAAATCGCGCCGGCAAGAAGATAGTACTGTCCATCTTCCTTCTCAAACATGATTGCCAGATCGTCTTGCGTGAATCGGGCTGCCATCTGCATTGGATCCTCTGCAAGTGGCCTTTCAACAATGTTGAATGATTCGTTAGTGAGAAGGTTGTCCATGCCAACTGGTGTGCGTTTGTAAAGTGTGGGGTAACGTTCTGGGAGATACGTGCAAAGCTCCTCAAGCAGCTCAACAGCACCATCAAACGCTGAGGGATCGGTATAGCAAGATCTAGCGCCACGTTCGATAATACGTTTAGCTTTGTCATCATGGAATTTCATGTATTGGTTATCCAATTCTTTGAAACATTAGCCAGCTAGTCTATCATCTGAGGTATGATTTATGTACCTATCCATTCATTCCAATCCATGTTGCGTAAACCCATAGTAATGTGATATGTCCCATAGCGAAATGGACGGTATGGATTTGGCTTCGTTTGCTGCACATCCCAATTAGGGAAAGGAACTGCTGTTGGGCGTTTAAACTGCATGGGCTCCCATACTATCAAGAAGTCAGCTGCTATTCATCAACCACTGCATTATACTAACCTCCTAAAGGTCTCTGTGCTTTACCGTTTTTGAAAGTCGGCTTCTCCAGGTCAGGTGTTCTCGGTCTGGTATATCTCGGTTTCTTGAACATCGTTGCAGCTCGTATTAGCAGCCATACTGCAAGGCAGACTAAACCCGCACCATAAAGCAACATCTTGGGCTTTTCGTTAACAACTCGAGCGGCTTCTGAGGTGCTGAGTCTCTCGCAGGTAGATTTGGTCCATAGTTTGAAGCCATCCCAATTCGTCTCAACCATTTTCACGATGATTCACTCTTGAAATTGAAAGCGAAGAGAATCTCGATGTGAATTTTTGAAGTGACTCGGAATGAAACATATTGATATCTCAATGAAGTCATATATTTATGTATGTGTCGTGAATTGGGAATGAATGATAAGATCTGTCGTACGCAGGACCCCGCCAAATTTGTTCTTATCGCTAGGGATTTTTTTTCCGTTTCGGGTATGGGTTATCACTGTCAAACATCACGACGGTGTACGAACACCTCATCAGGCATAGAAAATAATCTTGAGCTTGAATCACTTGGTGATAATTGATCGAGATGGTACGATTTTGATCATGAACTGAGGGGGACTTTAGGTACAATCTTTATGATACCCGCAGTAAAGAACCACTTGGTCGTAATGGAGGTATCAGAACAATGCAAACCTGTGAAAATCGTTTGGTAGTTAACATTCAACCAATGAATTTGGAAACGAAGTGGACAAAACGCCCAAATTTGTAACTGCGAGCGTCTTCAATTGAAGTATCATCATATGGATTTTATTGAACGTCGAAAAAGACCAAAAGTTTAATGGGTCAAAATTTTATTCTTAGCTACAAAGATCATACATAGTCCCCTCATGAATTATCTACCACCTCCGTTCCCATTCTGCTGGCCCGGATGCGTCCATTGATTTCCTCCATTTTGGTTTGCCCCATTTTGCTGAGCGAAGAAGGCCGGATTTATGAATGCACCTGCTGGTAAGGGAGGAGGAGGAGGCATACCCGCCCAAGGGTTCTGTGCTTGAGCAAAAGGTTGTTGGGGTTGTTGAGGCTGTTGGTATGGTTGCTGATATGGTTGCTGATAACCTTGCGGGTACATTGGCCATACTGGAGGTTGTTGAGATGGGTATTGTGGTGATGGTTGGGGTTGATATTGCTGCGGTTGATTTTGATTGCCGTAAATATTCAAAGGTGGCGGAGGTGGAAAGTTAGGCTTTGGGGGTAATGAAGCTGATTGAGAGTTGAATGCCCCCGGACTTGGAGTAGAAGGTGGTAACGCATGGCTTGATTGCGATGTATTATTATGAGAATTGGCATTTCGATCATTATGTCCGCCACCTCTTCCTCGGCCTCTTCCCCAATCTCCTCTGCCTCTGTCTCCACGACCTCTTCCTCTGCCCCTACCACCATGATCGCCACGTTGACTTGATCTGTTATAATGCGAACCCTCTTGAGGAGCTTCACTACCACTTGCCCCACCAGTAAATCCAACTGGTCTAGTAAGAGTTTTATAAGGACCATCCTCGGCTTCGTCGTAGTTCAACGCAGCACTGTTGTTACCAGAAGTATATGGTTTTTGCGAAGCATGCCCACCACGTGAGTTGCTGCCATTCTGTTGAGTCTTAACACCTCTCTTCTCTGCCCGCTTTTGCTTTATCATTCGCTTATGCTCAGCCTCCTTTTCATCATCAGAGAATTCCATTTCCTCGTCGCCAACTTCTTCGTCGTACAAGTTTGAAGCATCTGTACCTTTGTATGCTTTCAAAGCTTGTGTAAAGACGTACGTTGAATGCTGTTCAGAGTAATACACCGTAGTTCCGACAGATAGTCCTGCTTCGGCAATCGCAGCTGCGTTCGTGAATCTTACACAATACAATGGTTGTTCCACTCTGCCCAACGTTTCCGACACTACACCTATAACGCTGCGATCCTCTAAACATAGCACAGATTCTTCTCTCAATACTTGATATTCTCCACTTGTGAAAGCTTTAATGAGAATGATATTATCCACGACTCCTTCCACAGCTCCCAATTTTGTGATAGGCATTTCAGGCGTTATTGTGACATCTGGTTTAGGTATCACCTCTTCTGGAACTTCATTCTTCGTACGTAGGTGGCCTCCGGTGCGCTTTTCTCCACGTGCCATTCCATCATCATCTGAGCCCCCATCGTTTTCCGTCATTAAGATTCTTGCTTGTTCTTCTGGACTCAATAATTTGTAGGCATTTTCTCCATCCTCCTCCTCGCTATCGTCCTCAGATGAACTATCACTTGAGGAATCTGACGAAGACTCATATGGAGATGAGTCAACCTCCCATTCTGGGTGTTCCTCTTCTGTCGCTGGTGCTGCGGATGCAACGTTCGTTGCAACATCCGTAGTCACAGTCGCAGGTTGTAACAGGCCTCCTAGCATCGCCTCTAATGCATGGGTCAAATCCGGTTGATTGGCATGGCTCTCCGGTACTTGAATATCAATAGTACTAGGTTGAGATCCTAATGATTCTTCCAATGGCATATCTTTCCCTTGTTCGGCATGAATGTCTGTGGTAGATTGTGACGGCGCAATGTCCATCGCATCGTTGTCGGCGTCTTGCGTGTTCAGTATGGCTTGTTCTAGAGGTGCTTGTTCAATCTCCAAATTATTTTGACCTTTCATTTGCTCGATGCCGACTCCCGTCTCCTGTAAAATTTCACTTTTGATTTCTGTAAGGTTTTCTGGAGTCGCATCAGTGGTCACAGCAGTCGCAGATTCTTGAAGTAGAGGTTCGACATCCGCCATTTTGACATCTTCTGGGGGTTGAGCATGACTGATTTCTGGCAATTTCTCTTGTGATGTGGCAGATTCCTCTAAGTGATTCTCTGCGAGGTCGTTCTCCGCTGTTGGGGTTGGATTCTCAGACTTTGGCGCATTTCCAAGTCGTCCTAGCCCGGGTATATTGTAGAGAGTGGATGAAGATGAGGCAGGTTCTTCACTCTCCCCTTTGTGATTGGACTTCTCATCTTGCGGAGGAATTGACGATATGGAGTCAGAGTTATTCATGCTTCCAGTTGAAATCAAAAACGATATGTGAGAGGTCTGGTGACGGTCTATTGCGCTCGAGTGATTTTCGTGGTAGACTTTATCAATTGACTCGAATTTAAATATGTGATACCAGTGCCAGTAGAATATTACAAGAGTATAATATGAATATGGGTATTCAAAAGAGATTTTAACAAAAATATGCTGCAATGCAATACTTCAATGTTGTACGAATTACTGACCAGAAAGTTTTTGAACTTCAAAATTTCCAAATATTTCCCGACGCTAATCATCTAATCTTAGCGCAGGGCGATAAGCTTTTATGGATTCTTATCGGTATGCACAATTCAAGCTCTCCATTTTATGTAAGCTTTATGTAAGTACACTAGAACACGATGTCATCGTTAAAGTCTGCGTTGGAAATCGATTAGAAAAAGCAAGTCAATTGCAACAATGGCACCTCCGCAGCCAGTGAAATTGGGCTCATCTAAAGGAGCAGAACCTTCTACAGCTTCACATTCAAAAAAGAGAAAGTTAGTATTTCAGAAAAGTTGAATATGAAATATTCTAACCAAGTTTCAATAGACCTGCCACTCCATTCGCAGTTCAACCTATCAGCGCATTTTATGTCTTCCTGGCAGCAAATATATTGGCAGCTCTGTATGCTCCTATACAGGATTGTGACGAGACCTTTAATTACTGGGAGCCCACACATTATCTCAGTCATAAATATGGATTACAAACTTGGGAATATTCTCCGGAATTCGCGATTCGAAGTTGGCTCTATGTCACTATCCATGCCCTGATGGGGAATTTCAGAAGGCTACTCCCATTCCCAACGAAGGTATAGAGAAAATTCAATATCCATAGACGGTTAATATCCTAATGGAGGTATAGGTTGGCGAATTCTATTTCATTCGATATTGTCTCGCATTCATATGCGCTCTGTGCCAGACGCAAATGTTTCGAGTCGTTAACGGAACTTTAAACCCGCGAGTCGCCATGTTCTTCATGATGGCCAATATCTTCAGCCCTGGATTCTTTCATGCCTCGGCCTCCTTTTTGCCATCGAGCTTCGCTATGTATACAACTATGCTTGGAATGGCCGCTTTCATGAACTGGAGAGGGGGCTTGAAGACTGCGCAGGGTATCTTTTGGTTCGCTGTCGGTGGAATTCTCGGCTGGCCATTCTCCATGGCTTTGTCTGCCCCTTTCTTAATTGAAGAGGTAATTTTCGCTAGCTTGAGCGATAAAGATGCCGTCGTTGATACCGTAATGCGGTTCGTCAGGGGGGTTGTTGGAGGATTGATTGTTTTAGTAAGCTTTCCCCAAGCCTCCTTTCCTTCAATCGCTAAAGTTGTACCAAGTTCTTTGAATTTGTCGTTTCTGGCTTTTTCTATCGAAAGTTAGTGATTGTCCCTCTGAACATTGTTCTTTATAATATCTTCAGTGGCGAGGGAAGAGGTCCTGAGATCTATGGTACTGAGCCATGGCATTTTTACATTCGTAATTTGATTCTCAACTTCAATATCTGGTTTGTGCTTGCAATTTCAGCTCTCCCGCTTTTCATACTTCAGAAACTATTTGGGTCACGAGAAGGCGGCACCACAACAGCCCTTCGTAGCGTTGTTTTCATGGCACCATTTTACATTTGGCTTGCAATATTCAGCTTCCAGCCACATAAGGAAGAACGATTCATGTATCCAGCCTACCCATGCCTTGCACTGAATGCGGCCATGTCACTTCACATCCTCTTGGCGGCTTTCGGTCATTCGGATCCTAAAACTTTAGTCGGTAAGATTCCAGCTAAATTGAAGCTATTGTTTGTGAGCTTCTTCATCATCGGATCTGTGGATATTGGCGTAGCAAGAATTTATGGGATCTATACAGCGTACTCGGCCCCCTTAAAGATATATAGTCCTCTCCAAAATGGTACGCTTGGGGCACGAGGGGATTCCGTCTGCTTTGCCAAAGAGTGGTACAGATTTCCCAGCTCTTATCATTTGCCAAACGGCATGAAAGCAAAATTTGTAAAGAGCGAATTCGATGGTCTCCTCCCCGGTGAGTTTTCCGAAGCTAGTACGGGATTCGGAATGTGGCCTACATGGCTCATCCCGTCGGGTATGAATGACCGAAACATCGAAGACATGAGCAAATATGTAAGTAAATCTCTTCGCAAACACCCTTCCTCGCAAGTTTTAAAAGAAACTAATATTACATTCAGGTTGACCTCAAGTCCTGTAACTTTCTGGTCGATACCTACTATCCTGGCTCTGTAGCCTCCGAGCTTAAGCCTCACTACATCACGGACTCCGAGAACTGGGAGCCCGTAAAATGTGAACCATTCCTCGATTCATCTAAAACTCACATCCTGGCACGAACCATATGGTTACCAGATTTACCGTTTATTCCAGAGAGATTCCGCAGAAACTGGGGAAGTCACTGCTTATTAAAACGTGCACCAAAGAAGGCAGTTGCTAGCTCTGTATAAAATTTCTTGTATATCAAAAGTTTGTGTTTTGGATTTCAATTTGGTGTCCATGTATTTACAATATCCTATCAAGGTATGTACAACCGCAATAAGAGCATAGGTTTCGTAGACATCTCCTTCCTAGCTCCTTGCTTGTGCGTCATCAATCTCCTAATCAACAGTTGCTCCATTGAAATAATGAATCGTCTCATCTACACATCCCGTTGGTGTCAAATACGCATAATTTCCCAAATTGATCCACAACTTCTGAGCGCCGCAAACCAACCACGCACTTAAGTTCGGCCTACTAATACTAGCTACACTCCACGTTACCGCATCTCCACTAAATGCAAACGTGCCAAACGTATTTTGGGTGGTATTGAATGTCACGGATAATTTAACAGCAGATGAATTCGCGGGTGGTTGGACATTTGCATAGAGGAACGTATTCGGAGCGATTAACTCAACTAGCTGTCCAGATACGATTTGATACTGGCCGGCGGTGGACCTGTCGGCTAGGACAGCAGTGCCGGGCTTGGCAGTTGGGGAAGCTTAGAGGTAAGAACTACAAGGTAACGATGAATTAGACTTTGCCCCCCACATGATATTTTTTGATTTTCCTACCCGTCTCCGGAATTGAGATGATATCTGGAATCAATGCTTTCAAGCCTGTTTCTAAGTTATAAAAGTGGGAATACTGACTGAAAGTTTGGGGTTTCAACGGCACGAATCCAATAGTAGCCACTTTGGAGAGTCGCTCCCGGGTACGAGGCTACACCAGTGGTAGTAGTTGTGGAAAGCGTGGTTGTTGTTGAACGTGTGGTAGTTGGTGTGCCGGAAGTGGTTGTAGCCGGTGTTGTCGCAATCGTTGATGTTGATGATGCGGTGCCAGGAAGGCATTGGGAATAGTCTTCTCAGTATAGTGGTTAGTAGGTATAATTCGGGCGGAAAGGTAGTGGATTACATGGACTGATTGCATGGTTAGTGAATGCCAGAAAGCGAGATGGTTCAATTGAAGAATTCATGACGGGTGTGACAAGTGAGAAGCAGGTACAATCTTACTTGGAATAAGTACACACATAACCCGATGCACAAGTCGTTGCACCAATCCAGCCTGTCCCTCCACCTGCCGTCCGGAATGTATTAGCAATATCTAGAAGATCCGTCCTCCTTTCACGACTCTTACTTACACTGGCCCCACGCAGCTTGCTGTGCATATACATTTTGAATTCCTGCAATCATGAGCAGAGTTGCTCTTAACTGATTGTTCAAATACATAATGATTAAAAAACAGTTTTTTTTTTGATTTCTATGAAATGAATACAGAAAAAGCGATAGAAAAACGGATTCTTATATTCAAAAAATTTATAGTAGTATCTTTCTCGGACCGACAAACCCGTAGAGGCAGAATGTATATAAATTGGATTCTTGGTCTCATGACCTGTGACCTCTAGGGAGCTATAAATTTGAAACCGATATTGACAAGGTAAAAGAACAAAAAGATTGTTCCACATAATTTGATGGTCTTGAATTATACTTTATTTATTTTTCATACTTGAGATTAGCATTGCTGGTTCTTCGCTTGCACATTAAAGCAGCATCTCAAATTATATCCACGTTCCACATTCATCAGGCACAATCGCTAATGTAGAATGAGACAGGTGCGACTCTAAGTCTATACAATTTCGAAATTATAGCTCTGGTTGTGATTCAATTCTCTTCATTACAGTTTAGAATATTCTCAAACCCCACTTTCCACGAATGTGAGTCTCTACAGTATAAATTCAACATGATTAGTTCTCCAAAGTACTATGTAGCCAGTCCAGGTATCGGGTACGAATTCACACGGCAGTTACTCTTGGCACATCCCCACAACATCGTCTTCGCAACTTATAGATCTTTTGAAACGCCACAGGCCTTGTACGATCTCGCCAAGGCACTTAAGGATCCGTCTAAATTACGGATATTGAGGTGTGATTTTACGGATGAGCAGACTCTCAAGGATCTCTGTAATATACCTCAGTTGATGAAGCAGATTATCGAAGCTGTAATCATTAATGATGGAGGCATGGATTGAGGTACAGTGATTGAAGGGTGAGTTGTCGCCGTGATGAATAGTGTTTTTTATTTAGGAGCTTCTTAGTGCCGCCACCTACTAGTAAGAGCGATCGAGAAGGCTTTCGCTGGGACTGCTTCACGGTATCAGTTTGATACTTTCTATACGATTACACAGCGAGGTCGTAGCTTGGTAGATACGCTTTGCACCAACAAATCGTGATCTGCTTTTCATTTCTGCATTGTGCTGACGAGCGTGTAATGCTGACGATCATTCCTTCTTTACGATAGAACCTCTAAATATTACTACCATCACTTCCAAAATAATACGTTTGGGCCACTTCTTGCTGCCAAATATCTTCTTCTCATACCTAGTGTTCAAATCTCCAACATTACATTCAATTCCGACAGTTATGGATCCTCTAGCATTCAATATTGCATATGGGCCCTAGCCGCATAGTCTGCCTCTAAAGCCGCGCTTAATATGGGCTTACGTGTATATTGCTTTCCACTTAATAAACAATCTTTTCTCATCACTTTACAAATCATGATCATGTATGTTCTTCTCACATATTCTTTCTCATAGCATCTAGCCGTCGAAGTACATAGAGATTTGGGCTCTGAAGATCCGGTGATATTGGCTGTTCATACAGTTGAAACAGGCGCTGATTTAGGACCCAATCCCGCGGAGTTGATGGAGGTGCAAATAAGTCTGAGAGGATGTTTGAAGATTATAAGGGAAAGGGGAAAGTATGGGATTGAGGAGGGTGGGAAATCGTCTGCTTGGGCGATGGGAGTGATAGGAGATCCGGAAGCAGCGACGTTTTGGACTTGGAATGGGCTGAGACATCCTTGGTGAGCTGCTTCTGGGTATTTTTTGTGGGAAGCTGAGAAATATACTGGATGGGGTGTATATTTTATTGAGACGAGTGTCGATTGTATTACATCAAGATGGATCATAAAATAACTTAGATAGGGTGCATGGTTTGTACGGGTTGGAGTCGAGCAATTAGGATGGAATGTATAAGATCTTCTAGACCAATCAATATCACATGCATGAATGAAGCCATGGTTCCAATATGCAGGTGATGAGCTACCCTTGGTGTATCATGGTGACTTTTGACACTGCACGGCACTCTCCAAGTCTGTCACGACTGATCCTCGAATTCCAATATGCTCTAACTTCCATAAACCATCAATTTCCCCCAAATTTCTCATCCAAATCGTCAACAAAATCATTCAAAATCCTCTCGATCCACTTATTCATCAGCACCCTATCATCAACCACCACCCTCTCCCTCTCATTCGCCAAATCAAACTCAAACCCGCCCGCCAGATTATTCGACACCACATGCAAGAACCCAAACCTCACACCCCTTTCCCTCGCCGCCACAGCCATATGACCAATCTCCGGATCTACCCAACAAAACTCCCTCCTCCCCTTTTCAAACCACGCATGATCTTCATCCAGCACCGACGCCGATGTATAATGCACTCCTCTGGCCACCTCCCCCAGAATCTCCTCACCGATCGGATTTTCCCACTCGACAAACTCCCCATTAACGAAACTTTTCGAACCCGTCGCCAACGTCCTATTGGGCGTATGTTCCCGCACCAACGCGCCCAGTTTCCCAACATAGATGACGCATTGTAAAGAAACCCCACAGATTTCCCTCAAGCATCTCACGAGATCCCCCGCCAAATCCCCCCAAAAACTCGCTCGACATTTCAATATCGTGACTGTGAATCTATTCGTCTTCGTAACCGTCTGCCACGAAAATAACTCATCCGCATCTTCTTCATCTTTCCAGGGTTCTGTTGACCTCAATATCTCTCTCGGAATCGATCCTACAAGTACCAGATTTGTGTTTTCCCCCGCTAAACCCCTCAGATTCGAGTTCATGAATTCTTCATATCCTGCGTTTTCCTGGGGTAGTTTAATTTTTACGATTCCCGGATCTTTTCCCTCGATTGCTAGATGTGTCGCTACGATGTTGGCATAATGTTTTACGTAATCTCTCCCTGGAAAACAATTGATGCGCAGTCTTCCCTCTCCCAGGATCGTGGCAGTGGGTCGTTGATAGTTGAAGGCTTTATCGGTTTTTTCCCTGTTGTAGATGATGGCTGGAGCGGAACGGATGTGGTGGCCTACGACTTCTATTTCGGTCCAGGGTTGGGAAGGCACGAGGTGGTGCACTTTTATGTCAAGGTAGCGTTGTAGAGAGAAGCCCATGGTGTGCAGCGCAAAGCTGGTTATTGTGGGGCTGGGCTTTCGTAGTTGTATGGAGGACATTTTGGGTGGTGCTTAGTAGGCTGTTTGGATGGGAAAAGGAAGGTGAAGAAATGATTAAAGAGTGGTTGTGGAAAAGTCCTGCGTTTATGTATCTCCCATGCGTCATATTCCGTTCATTGAATAATGATCTGCTGGATGCTGATAACTGTGATGCGCTGGAAGAGCCTTCCGTTTGCGCAGTCTCATCATGCTTGTAATCAATGTTGTACGAATCCATGTTGTTGAGCGATGTCAATGAGTCAGATGGATGATCGGATTGCCAAAGACACAAACATGGTTCCAGAAATACAGCCTAGCTGTCGATGGTAGACCGGGAATAGTAGAACGATAGATCTAGCTATAGCCCGTCATCAAATGAAGATTGATTTCCCAATTGACATCAAAGAAAATCATTTTGTGCGAGCTTCGAATTGAAAAAAAAGATAGATATTATCTGGTATCATGAATAGATCTGTACCATGTATGATGTATGAAGTCATGGATATGATACAAATTGACAGCAATGCAACGCCACAAAGACGCAAAAAAGAACTATACAACACTTTTCTTCCCCCTCTTCTTCTGCATCCGAGCCTTCTCGGTCGCTTCTACAACCTTCTGTAACCTCCATTCACATCCTTCGGCAAAATCGCAACTCCTGCATTTGAATGCTTCATCCAACTGAACACCCTTTGCCTCTCTTTCTCCTTTCCACCATCGCAGTTCTTCCTCCAAGTATGAGCTCAGTTCTTCATTATCCATGGGGATAGTCTTGATTCCCACTATCTCTCCATCATCTCGTGATCGATATTCTGTTTTTAATACCCTTCCCAATGACCCGGCGCCATCGGGGAAGGTAATTTGAAATTCAGATATCATCACGGACCATAGTGCATTAAGATTGTTGTGAGCGAGGAGAACACTCATAGAATCTTGAGTAGAACTTGGCGCTGAATCGTCCTGCTCCTCAAGCGCATCGTGGTATACCCCATCATCATCATCATTCATGCTACCAACCTGAGCGATGAATGCATCTGAAAATGCCTTACTTGTATCTAACCTATAACGGGCTGCCAAAACACCAAAATCGACTGAGTTTGTGGCAAGACTGCCAAGTAGGTGGTGGTATAACATAAGTTGTACTCGAGTAGGACGAAAAGCTGCGTCGTTTGGTAGCGTGCGAACACCCCTCGTCTTGACATCGCAAATATATACTTTATTCGACTGCTTCCTTATTTTTATCCGTGTCGCCTCTGAAATGGACGAACCTTCCATTCCTTTGAAAAAATCAGATATAGAAACTTGATCCGTAGGTGGTGATTTCTTTTTCTTCTTGCTCTTCTTCTGGCTCTTTTCCTCCGTCTTTCCCAGCAGCGATAGCTCCATTTCAACATCCGGACATATATAGCTCAACTCATCAATGATCCCGTTAACAACCAATCCATCAATAGTACCCCATATCTCCAGTTCCCTCGTTTGTCCCGTTTCTCGTAATGTTCGTAAACCTTGTATCACATTCCATATTCGTAAACCCCATGCGTCTTCTTTCGTTTGGATTTGAATCTGAACAGACCTGTGTACCTGATCTTCCAAGACTTTGTGTACAGCACTACCCTGCTCCATAGCGTGTGTTTGCTTCCTCCTCCCAAGTTTCGTCAATGTGTACAAGTATTGCAGCTCACACCATGCAGGAGACACAAGATCTGTCACTGAAAGAGGTTTCTTCGGCGCAGTACGAAATCGTTCGAGGGGCGATCGTGTGTCTGGGAGGGCGGAGGTTGCAGACTCTGTGTGCTTTGCTGAGACTTCATTTACTTGTATTGCAGGAGCTGCAGCTGGCACATCTTCAGGTATTTGATCTTTCACTAAATCCTGCTGCGTAAGTCAGAGATATGAATTGGGCGACAAACAAATACACTCACAGTCTGGATAGTACTCGCGTGTCGAGACTGAAGCATTGATTTGATCAGCAACCCTCTCTGCATCACGAATAGCCTGGAGCAGAGGTGAGATCTGTTCCTTCCCAACGACTCGAGGGAGGCGAAGAGCACGTTCGGGCTCATGATACTCGATTTCAGTGACAATGGGATTGTCTTCGATCTCCGTTGGTTCTTTGGAGTGGACCGGCGATAACAATTTCTCTACTATCTCAACTTCTTCGGGCGAGAAATCGGAACCATAATCACTTTCACTATCTGCGGAGTTGGGAGACAGGCCCGTCATTTCTACGGCAGAACCAGCCATGCCGATATATGTATTTAGTGCGATACATCAGTGTATTCTGGTAGTTTGGGACAATCCATGACACGTTCACGGTTGTTGCCACTCAATTGACGCGATTGGAGCGTAATCACGTGCAGCTTCTTTGTGGGATAATTCGCAATCAATCTCTTTAGAATTGATTACACTCAAGAATGTCAATATCTGGAAGACTGTATCAACTTGGGAATTCTTGAATATTGTTACAGTCTTAAGTATTTTGGATAGATATTCAGACAATTGCCATTATTTAAAATCTACACTGATGCTTCAGCTATAGCAACTGTGTCGCTCCAGGGCTTTTCTTGAAGCCTACTGAGTATTACCAGCCTTTTAAGTTCTGACTCTAGTGAATTAGCATTTCCCTCCTCCCATGTCACAGAAACACAGCCTTCCGCCAAAAGAAGTATTAAGTATTCGTCACTCCAATATATTCCTGTCATTAGTTATGACTCTGGAACGAATCACATCTTTCCAAAAGCGCAAAAGTGGCAGCCTGGTCAAAGATACCACGTTTCACATAATCGCATTCACGAGAGTGACTCGATGATCCACTCATTGAATTGAACATGTACCTGGTATAGGCATCGCAAATTATATATCAGTAGCTTTTGTCCTTCTTGCAGTGATCAGATTATAAGTCTATCGCGATTACAGGATCCATCTATCTTGCCTGCTCACCACATCATGGAGAAGCACCATATTCTTCCGTCTTCTCAGACGGAATCTGGTACTACCAAACTCAATCTTCTAGATTTACCGCAAGAAATCCAAGTATTGATAATCTCCCATCTGATATATCCAGATGCGCTCTCCCTAAAACACACTAATCGACACTTCTACTCCTTTGTATACACCGGTTTACATTTGAAGATAGAGTGGCTGATTCAGAGACGGCGGCTACACTTGGATTGTCCGAGTGACAGTAAATGTGAATTGGGTAGTGATGTTAGATTTTGTCGAGGGAGTGTTGCGTGAGTCTTACCGCAGCTTTTGTGGTCTGAAGATGTGAAAACTGACAATATACACAGCTTATTGATGAAGAGGAGAAGAGAACATCAAGAATGTGATAGTAAGCCAGGAGGGAGGGGATGCCTGGTACTAGGGAAAAATATTTGCGTCGACAAGAAAGAAAGCAATCATGTCAAGGCAGTCTGGAGATATCTTAAATCGGGGATTCCTCTGTGGTTAGTAGTGGTAACAGTTGCTTTGCTGGCCATTGTCATAGCTCCGACGAAAATATCGCCTATCACGGGAAACCATTGATATAAAAAGGGGGGTTGTCATTAAGATGTATACTAGGGACCTTCGGAACAAATCCATCTTGTAATAATGTTTAATAAACAAGACGGGTGAAATTAATGATGAGGAAATGATTCGCAATTTCTTCCATCTTAATATCTACTGAGCTATTAAATGGCGCACCACTTTCATTCTCGTGAACCACCCTAAATGCCTCGTAACTCATTCCGACAGATATGAGAGTAAAGTTGCTTGAAGTCACATTAAGCTCACGTTCACAAACGCACTTCATCGATTGGAACAACGATTGTCTGCGCATCCATCAAGACCATTTATACTCCATGACCCCCATTAATCTAAACATTCTCGTCCCTTTCGAACTCCTAGAGGTTGAAGTTCTGAGATTGGATATACAGATAGATATACAATATTTCGCGCCGTCTAGAACATCCCCCAAACACTCCTCGACTCCCGACCAATCACTTCCGCCACCATGTTTCGGATCATCGCCAAGAAGTTATACAGGCGGTAGTGTAGCTAAAAAAGAGCATCAGGGGTACAGCCTTACGGCTCAGCACACTATCTAAGTAGTATCAAGCCGTCCCATCTTCACAATTCTCTATCTCATCTCCTAAATTGTGCAGATGCGATAAGTTTCGGATAATGATTGCGATCCTGTCATGCGAATTTCGTCGCTCGTCGTCCAAATTCTCCTATCAGAAGGTAACGCTCACGATAATATGAAATCAACAGCGTGTATGATTCACTGGAAATGGGTGTAACATTTGTGATCCGTTTGTATTAATACAGAAATAGGATTATCTTGGCAAATAACACATCAAATTTTGGAAAATTGTTTTCGTAAGGAATTGTTATAATTTTCTTACATCTCCTCTCTCTTGATTAGCCTCCTTTTTTACCGTTCCATTTCTATCTTCTGAACAGAGGCAAGTTGTCATTACTTTCTTTCTTCACACTCGCATTCGTTTTATCTCACCTTCATATTGATCAGGTTGGATACCTGATTGTACGTTCTTTCAATAGAACCCACGCTCCTTAAATAAACAATCCTTACACTCTTTTGGCTTTGAAAGCCACCTACTATCGTGTGAATCGACTTGATTACTACCACTTTTGACTCCAAAAACCACCGCGACGAACCAAAGTCAAGATGTTATTAAAATCAACCAAAACAATTGGTCTCGCTTTCCTGGGATCGCTCTTCTCGCCCGCAAGCACCACATTCGTCATTCAATGCTACAGTCGTCTCGTCGACGAGCGTGTGGATCCAGTAGTCAGTCCTGGAATTCTCCCTGCATCTCACGTGCATGCGATTGCTGGTGGTAGTGGTTTCAGCGCCAATATGACATATGCTGATGCTCGTGCTGCCAAATGTGGGACTTGCAATGTGAAGGAAGATCTGTCAAACTATTGGACCCCGAAGCTTTACTACAAGGCTCAGAATGGTAGTTTCATTTCTGTACCTATTAATGGAGATGACGGATATGGAAATCTTGGGGGGATGGCTATTTACTATCTGTGAGTCTTAGACACGCTGAAGTCTTGACGCGCCGTCATGTCTTACGTTTGCTAACGTTTCCCCCAAGTCAACGTCCAGGTCCAGATAATGATCCACTTGTCCCATTCCCTAAGAATTTTCGTATGCTGGCAGGAGACACAAACCGACGAAGCTACAATGACTCTTCTTTCGCAGACCGTGCTGTTAGTTTTCGATGCACAGGGACTGGTCTTCAAACAAATGGATTCCCAAACATCAACTGTCCAGATGGTCTTCGACTTCAGGTCACAATGCCCAGTTGTTGGGATGGTGTAAATGTAACTTCAGCCGATTTCAAATCCCATATGTCGTATCCTGCGGATGGTGATTTTGACGGTGGTCGCTGCCCAGCTTCGCATCCTCATCATATGATGACTTTATTCTTCGAAGTTACATATCGTACTGATCTTTTCGCAAATGAGTGGTATGGCAATTCTCAACCTTTTGTCCTTGCTAATGGTGATACCACTGGTTACGGATTCCATGGTGACTTTGTAAGCATTTAGCGATTGCGTTCTCATGATAGTTGATGAAGCTAATATCGGCCAAGGTCAATGGTTGGGATATCCCAACACTCACAAAAGGCATTAAAAACTGCCTTGACGGTGAACCCGACTGTCCGAACGAGACTTTCACCTTTTACGAACAATCTGACACCCAAGAATGCAAACTTGCTTCTCTGATTAACGAACCCGTAAGCGGTACGCTCTCCGCACTTCCCGGTTGCAATGCACCCTCTTCAGGTCCGGCGGAATACACACCACCAGCTTGTCCTCAAGATGTAGCTTTAGCAAAGTCGCTGCAGACTCCGCCTTCCCGCTTCAACCCCGCCGCTTCTAAGGCTCCCTCGCTCCCAATCGGCATCGTCGATTTGAGTGCCTCCAAAGGCTGGACCTATCTCGGATGCGGAACCGATGACGCTGCAAGCAGAACCTTGAATGCCGATTGGGAAGGAAACAATACAATGACTATCGAAACCTGTGTGAATTTCTGTGCGTCCAAAGGTCACACATATGCAGGGATGGAATTCGGAAGTCAATGTTACTGCGACAATGTTCTATCTGCAGACCGCGCACCTGTTGCTGGTATGCTAGGTGATTGTATCATGCCATGCGCAGGAAACAGTGCCGAGAAATGTGGTGGTAATGCTGCAATTACACTCTATCAAAAGTGTGGCGCAAATGGATGCGCTGCCTCTAGTGTAGCAAAGCCTGTTTCTGCTCGATCGCAAAGTAAGAAGAGAAGTAGGGTTCTGAGGGGGCTGGGTGTTTAGATAAGATGCGAAATCATAACGATGTTGACGTCGAATATGCTTTCAATTCTACATACATGTGATACATGGAGGGAGTAGAGCCGACTTGCAATTATCGTAGATAGTTTACACCTTTTCAAGGAACGCACTTGCGATGACTTGTGAAATGGCATATAAATACATAAGAATTATGAGAAAATGATACCTATATACATACATTTTCCCTTATATTACCCGAATACAAATTCTGGATCTTGTGTGATTACAACAATCTCGGCCAGATACATAAATTAAATAATTCGTTATCATCACAGTCTTGGCATCTGTTCCTCTTAAGGGCAAAGTCACGAAATGAAATTTCTATGAACAATACTGCGGAGGGTTGTGAGCGGAAGACAAGTGAGAGATATATCATTAGTGGGATGGGAGCCGTCCTAGCGGAAATCAAATGCCATTCCAGGGTCTAGCGACATGGTTTCCCCAGCACATGTGGCGCCGCAGATGAGATGAAAATTGAGTTTGTAGATTCGTTTTTCGGAAGCTTATTGAGTTTTTTTGTCCGAAGCGTCTATTTGCTGCCGGTCTCCTATTTTCAAGATCTATCACATAATAAACAAGCGTGTTCGTTTTGGAGGTTCAATCCTCCTTCATTTTTCGCTTGTTCGGATACTGTCTTAGCCCGAGGTCTAACTACGGACCTCCATAAATATTGAGATTTGACGATTCGAATCAAGGATGCAATCAAGATTTCCCACGTACCAGGTATCCGATGGCTAATATTCCCTGCCCAAACTCATGTACATGGTGTAGAATATATTGCGGCACAGCACCCCTTCTTGGATTTCATCCTCGGCCAGTCGAAGGCGGATAAGAACTGGAAAAAGATTCAGAAACTTGATAACGGGTCCACATATGAAAATCGAAATTGCATATCCAGGATTATCAATCACATTTAGTGCCGCACAGTTTATTCGTATCTTGAACGGCACGACACGAATTTTGGTTCTGGTTGATTATGGTTTAGAATGAGGTACCTTGCTACATGGACCTGCTGTTCGTCTGATGATTACGCGGTTGGCTTCTGTGAAAGCCTGTGCCGTTTTTTGTAGTGTGCACATCGTCATATTCATTTGAGACAGTGAATACCTTTCCTTTACCCTTTGTATTCAACCAAAGTGGATGAGATGGCTTTACCAATCATATCTAGGTGAGATCGGAGTCCACCTCCTGAATAGGCGGGTCTGCGGCTCATGATTTTCCGTATCCTATATCGACCTATTGTGTACAGGCCAAGAAGGAAATCTCTGAGCACGGGTCGCTCCACACTGCCAAATCTAGCAGTTATCGAGATTCCAGAGCTACGCTGGAAATTGGCCCACTTGTTCAGTATTTACTATTTTATCTTAAGGAAGCGCCACTTTGTGGTTCGTTATGGCTTTGGCATTTTCTATGCGTTCTTTCACACGTGTTTTTTGACTCTAGGCCTAAGTGCTTCAGTTAGACTTAGCGTAAAAATGACGGACGCAATTGACCACTACTATCAGAACAGGGATAGACTGCCATCAAGATCTTTCAGTAGTGAGTCCGATTCATACAACAAAACCGCTCCTCTGCCTCCACTATCAACAAATCCTGAAAGAGCCCGAACTCCAAGCTCAAAACGTGTTCCGATAACCCCCAATTCCGCCAAATCTACATCCGAGAGCCCACGTCGCATCACATTTTCTAGAGATGCCGGAAGTAGCACAAAAGGATCGACGGGGACAAGTCCTAGCAACAAAGGAAGTGTAAGCAGCAGGAATGGTAGCAGTGGTGGGAATGATATGGGACTGAGTAGCGCGGGAAACTTTGCAGATTTCTTTAGCTCTGAAGTATTTTATATCGTGCTTCATAATCCAACGACCGCGCATCGATTCTTGAAGTTTTGTCAAAGTCGTGCTTGTGCGGAAAATCTTGAATTTTTGCAAAAGGTATGCCAATAATGACTTTTTGCTTGGAGTCAAGTGCTAAAGGAGCCAAACTAGATTGATGAGTATAATCGATTAATAGATGAAGCGACACGCCTTCTTTCCACGATTCACTCAACCTTTGTTTCGTCAGAGGCGCCAAAGCAAATCAACATATCTAATTCTCATGCTCGACGATTATCACATGATATCAAGAGCGCGACGAACAATATTCTTCCTGGCCTGGAAGACATCTTTAATGCGTCACAGGAGCAAATCGAAAAATTGCTAGCTAGCGATTTGTATCCACGTTTTGTAAAGCATCAGGTTACCGCTTCCGCTACTATGGCTTTGGCAAACGACAAGGAAAGATACCCAGGACTAGGCGACTGCTTTTGTTTGACTGATCCAAGGTATGTTCTTCTCAAGAAATGCTGTTCATCTAGATGCCATACTGACCAAATGAAGGCGGGCCGATAACCCGATTGTATTTGCTTCAGACGGGTTCGTCTCTGTTACGGGATATTCCCGATCAGATATCATACCTCGAAACTGTCGCTTTCTCCAGGGATCATTCACTGATCGTCAAGCAATAAAGCGACTACGAACTTCCATTGACAATTGCGAAGAGACAGTTGAACTGCTACTGAATTATCGCAAAAATGGTGATCCATTCTGGAATCTCCTCTACGTATCTCCCTTGCTTGATGGTAATGGAGATGTCAGATTCTTTCTCGGCGGACAAATTAATTGTAGTACGACGATTCACAGTCGTACCGATGTTCTTCGAATTTTGAGTCTGAACGATGAGGATACTGGGAGTTTTATAGAGGGAAGTAGTAAGGCCCCAAGTGTTCGAAGCAAGGAGTCCAACAGCCCCAGTAATTGTGGAAAAACTTCGTTCTTCAAGAGCTTCAAAAAATACAAGGCAAATGCCGTAGAAATCCGGGATGACGCTGGGATGGAAGGCGAATTGATTGATCGAATCGGAAAGCTACAATTCAAAACACAAGTTGAGGAATTCTATACGGCTTATTCAAAGGTGTGTTCCGAGATCTAAAAGCTGCTTGAAATTCACTGACATCAAAAAATAGTACCTCGTCCTATCTTACCAACCACAATCACAAAATTTGATTGTCAAATACTTCTCTCCGGGTATAGTAGATATGCTTAATCTAAACCTTCCCAATGGCCTCGTGGCTCCTATTGTCGATAAAGACATCTTCAAAGTTCTCACAGAACACTCCCCATCATCTGTGCCCCGCACTTTCAAAACCGCAGTCAAAGAAGGCATAAAAGCCGGGCGAGCAGTCTCAGTCGAAACGGCACTCTTGACCGGAATTGAAGAAATCAAGAAGTCACAGGGCATTTTTGGCGGTACATCGGCAAATAGAGAGAAAGGGTGGAAGAGGGCCGAGGAAAAATACATCTGTCATTTTACGCCTTGTAAAGATGAGATGGGCAGAGTTGGATGGGTCATTTTGACTGTAGCGCCGAAGCAGGAGAGATTTTGAGGGGTTTGTTTTGGCGTTGGACTGCGAGTACATGTAAAGATACCCCTTGGATTGGCATTTTTGTGTTTGGATATAGATCCCTAACAAATGATTTTGGCGATTGGAAGTAAACCATTGATTAACTAATCTTTCACGATTTTCCTCGGAGAAAAATTATAAGCCCTGGCTTTCATACTGGTTTCTGGTCTAAAGGATATCTGGCTTCTGAATACCAATTTGTAAAACTACTAATGAGTCTCCTGCGACGCAATTACAAACGTAAAATATTGCCCAATATTCATTGCATCCATAATAAAGGAGGTGCCTCACGTTAAAAGATCCTTCTCCACGATCTCGCACTTCTGGACTGAGAAGTCATACTTCATTTTACACAACTATCTCGTAACTGGGTCAACCAGTTTAACCTATACACACCAATCAAGACTACACCACACCACCAGTTAAATTTCCAAATAGCCCGGAACACCTCGATGCCCAAATAAATCCCGAATGATTAATAAACAATTGAAGATTACACAGAGGCTCGAGGTACACGATAAACAAAATCGCGGAGTACCGTTTTGGAGACTATGCTCGCGAAAACAGGGGGAAGGGTGTACATTATATCAGATTAGGCATTTATGGAATGCTTAGGCGATGGGATGAAGGGGTTGGGAATGGATGGCATGCTACAGAGTCCGAATGCGGAGTTTGTGATAAGGATCGATTTATTGAATTATGACGTTGTTTGAATATTGCATTTTTGTGATGATTTATTTTGAAGCTTCATTTATTTTGTGATTTTAGAAGTGGAATTCGTTGTTATGTATGTGGGAATTATAGGGGCTGGGAGTGTGTGTTTGCATCCGCTTTTAGAAATTTGAGCTATTATGTAGTATAGCGCCGCTCTAGTATATTAATAAGGCGTCGTGACGGAGTGGTTAACGTGATTGACTAGAAATCAATTCCTTTCGGGGGCGCATGTTCGAATCATGCCGACGTCGATATCTTTTATTTTTTGGCACCCTGAAACTATTACTTCAATGAAAGCGATCAAGAGTCAAGCATTCAAAATACTTTTGATACTTTAGACTGTCTTTCGCGATTTTTGTTCTTTCATATTCCCATCCGAACTTTTTGTTTGTATGTGGAGTTGCATGAGTGGATCTACTCCATTAAATAAAGGAGAAAAGTAAGCTTAAGTTGGTATTGTTCGGATCATCTTCCCATTCGCTTTCGTTTGGCCTACGAAACCTTTACCATATATATCTGAAGACCACGCAAAACCCATATGTTGCACGTAAGCTACCTACATGTAATAGTCTATCGGACCCTTAAATCTCTTACGAAACATTCGCGTTGAAATCTTTAAATAATCAATAGAAATATCTCTCCGATGAGTCTTCGCATGTCAGACTGCATTTGTGGCCCCAATTACATGTTGTGAATAAAATGATGTTGCGGGCACAACGTATTACATACCACAACAAGAAACACGCTACTCCTTCGAATGCGAGTTACAGCTTTACGCCTCGAAAGCTGACCAATTAGACTTGGTTGGCTGCTCGGTTGTGGGTATCAT